ATCAATTTCATACCGAGGGAATGACATATTGGTATATTTTAATTACCTAAAATAAATAAGAAATAAATATTGATAACTTTATTTTTATTCTTTCGTTAGCTTGCATTCTGAAGGACACTTTCCCTGAAATTTTTTTTTTCATAAGTTGTAAAACAAACATAAAATATACTGGGGACATGAAAATGACTGTTTTTGTAAGAATGACCCTTATATAAGCTGCTAGAGTCAAAAATGTTTATTTCATATACAATACAGTGGGTCATGAAGAGATAATCGCGCGGCCTGGTAAAATTTATAATTTCAGTTGGATGCTAAAATGAAATTCTCTAATATTAGAATCATCAAATTTGCTGATTAGTTGACTCATTAATTTGTTGATTTGATTTACTGATAAACCTTTCACTAATTCACCGATGTATTGACTTTCATTAATTCCTTTATTCTTGTCTTTCTTTATTCACTCACTACATCAAAAATCACATAACTTAGCGCTATCCATAGCAACGGAATCCTAGAAAAATGCACTTTGTTAAAATTACAGGAATATAATGAAATTTACAATGTTTTTGTCTAATTGGTAACAAAAAAAGCTCGGTAATTTTGCCGAGTTACTTTGGCTATGGTTTTGGTAAAATTAGCAATAAAATATAAACTTGTAACGTAAATTTATCATGAGAACTTGGAGAATGACATAAAATCCATTTATTCTTTAAAATTTACTTTTTAATGAGAACTATAACTTTTAAATCTAGAATTTCCGGTTATGAACGGAACACTACATGAACGGAAAAAAATAACTAATGAATGGTTTAAATACAGTTAATTTAGCAGAGTTATGTTGTTGTTTTTTTACCAGAATCGTAATTACCATAAAGTACAGTAATTTTACCGGAATTGTTTCTACGTGTATATTTTAAAAACTATCTTCTAATAACATGAAATCCCAATTAATAAAACTAATAAAATTAAAAAAGACTAAATGGTTGTAATAGTAAATGAAAAATTAAGATTCTCTTCTCTTAGATTGGTCATAATACTATCTAGCTATTTAAAATCAAATTAGGTTTCTTACAGGAGATCATATGTTACAAGTGCAATTTATTTTTAACTTTTCGTCAAATAAGTTTTAGATATGGAAATTTTGAGTAAAAATGATGGTCTTGGTGGTGATTGAGCAAAAAAACTAGTTTGTGCAATTGAATTTCAAAATTTAAATCAAACCATAAAAACTTATAATTATTAAACATGGAGTTTAAAATAACATTTCATTCCACAAAATTCTCTATCTTCAGTTAGCTTTCCTCAACAGGATATAAGCTTATAATATCCATGTTTGCCCCTATAATCAAAACATTTTCAAATGATGTACTTGTTTGCTCACATTTGTTTTCTATTAACTTATCTATAAATCTGAGTGTAAAATGAGAATAAGTGAAGGATCTCCAAAAAAGATTTTTTTAAACTATTTTGGTCTTTTTGACCATTAACTAGATGAGATGTCTTTATCAATCTTTGAAATTTCGAAATGTATTACAACAAACAGCGCAGATTCCATAAACACTCAGTGGTTTGAATTTTCCGAAAAGTGGGAGTGGCTCATGAAAATAAACACAATTTTCTCTTCCAGAAATTCAGCAGAAAACAATTATTTGATAGATATATACCGAAAAACTTGTACCTCTTATCTGTTGCTAGTATTCCGGCTGTTGTACAGAAATTCGAACTCGATTTATGTTGTGATTATAGTTTTTTCTGAATTTCCATAAACTCTTTGACAAATATTTATTACTAAATCAAAAAAAGATGAATTTATTGTCCAAAGTAAATCAATTTTGAAACTTGCATTACATTTTCACAATTAGAAATGCGCCTCTTGCTTTACAGTTGACTAGACAGTATCTTTCTATTTTGTTATTTTATCACAGAAAATGACAGAAGAACTACGATGGAAGAACTACGTTGCTGATACTTTTCCTTCTCCTGCTAAATCAGGGTAATCACGCTGAACTGATAAAAATTCCCTGAAATCTAAAAATCCGTCATCGTTACGGTCATGATCTTGAAAAATATCATCGATTTGTCCTGAAAAAAATAAATTACATTAATAATCATATCGTAATAATCAGGAAGCGGGGTACTTAACTAATTTGCATGTGCTTCTTTGTTATTGGAATTATAATTACTCCAAAGTATAATACAGGGGAAAGGAAGTGTTTTGTGCTGATGAACATGTTTCTCAATAAAAAAACGTTAAATAATAATAATTTGTTATAGTATTAATCCTTTCATTAAAGAAAAGATAAGCGTTTCGAATTATTTCGAAATGTTGAAAAGCTTATCCGGCATTTGCAATTCTAAATGATTAGCCCTTTAGGGATGTAAAGTTTAACCCAATCCTCGAGAAAAAAATTATTCCAGCTAAACTATTGAAATTTTTACTGTTGTTTAATATTTCATTTGAATGTAATTAGTCCGAATATGTGCTATGCATTGGATAGAACAAAAATCCTCCTTCGTTTTAGCTAGTGTTTAAACCTCATAATTTAGAATGAATTATCAAATATCCACATAATATTTTTTCAGAAAAATATATTATATTTACCTCATAAACGTATCAGGTAAACCAAACCGTATCTTTTTTGCTCACATCAAATTTCACCTTCTTTTTTGATTCTAAGAATCAATTTTAGCATCTTACCCCTGAGTCTACGACTTTATCGCTTTTGGTTTGGGTAACAGTCATTTACTTGCGTTTGATTTTTTATTCAAATATTGACGATGACTGTGAATTCAAAATATTTTCCAGTCAAGCGTGACTTAATTCTATAAAACTCAAGAATGCTTTACTTGAAAAAATTATAACATTTGCTTAAACCAGGACTTAATAATATTCTTGATTTCAGAAGCGTTCTAAAAGATTTCCAGAACTTTTAAGAAAAGCAAGGCAAGTATTCATTTTGCTGCCTAAATCACTAGAATGGGAAAGTTCTAATCTTTTACGACGAAATTTTTACGAAACAAAGTTTAAAGGAATGTTAGCTCCTGGTCTAGCTATACTTTAATATTATAAACTTTAATAATTGCTGTGATGTTAAATATGGATATAAGTTAACTTACTTAAAAGTTTTACTGTGAAAATTGAAAACTTTTAAACCAAACAAGAAAATCCTGCATTTTTTCTGTTTTAGTTGCCTTCTGGGTCATTCGATACTTAAAAAAATAGAAATGACTTGAAAAGAATTGCGGTATCCAAATGGAATAATTAAAAAAAAATCCAAATAATTTATAGGCCCTTATGAATTACGTGCAAATGAAAAAATCATGCATCAAATCTATTGCTTACGAATATTATTAAAACTTATTATTAGTGACAACCAGTTTCGTATTTCTCGATACCCTAGTATTTATTGCTACAGTTGACTTAAGAAAAGATAAATTCGACTTTGTTTAGACAAGCAGATATTCAGATTAAAAAAAGCACATGTATAAACGAATGAAAAAAAATCTTGTCAAATTATTACTTGTTTTTCTATTGAAAGGTCATTAAAAATATATTAGAAGTGTAAACAATATTCGGGAAACGAAGATTCTGGATTTATCCGAAAACGATGTAAAAGCCATTATCCCTTGATGTGTCATTAGGATTTCTTATCTTAAGTCTCTTGTTCAAAGATATTAAAAGATAAGTCATAGCGACGCTATTATTTATAACTCCTACTCATAGACGGCATAAATGAAAAAAAAAATTAAAGTCATAATAGTTAAAAGCAAATTTTCTTGACTAAGAGTTTTAATGTGTTGAAAATTCTTCAATTAATAACTTTTTTTTGTGTAGTCATAAAATGTTCTAAGAAATTAAATAAGTATTTTTATTTGTTTTCAACAAAATACTAAATTGGTATATCCCGTAGTGGCAAGAATATGTAAATAAGGTTGTTTTTCATATCCATAGGTTTTAATTTTGTTAATAATTTTCGAAAAGGAATATAATTCCTAAGGGAAACCAAAACTTAAGGTATATTTTCTTTGTATTTGCTAATTTATTATTTAAATTTAAAATTAGAGTTCGACAATCTTGACGATAAGCAGAATGTAATATCAAGGAACAAAAAATATTCATTTGAAAAATCCTAGAATGTTTTATTAAACTTTGATTTGGTTTTGCAGATTTAGTTTCCGATTCTAATAAGTTGCGTATGGGTAATTAGTTAATAATATAACTAACTTTTATTTAAAAAAAAAACTTTTTCTTTAATAATAAACCTCAAATTTGGATTAATAATCAAACGTTATGATAGGATAATCAATAATTAGAGAGCATTTGCGTAGCGTTTATCTTACATTAGGAATATTTCACACTTTTAAGTTAACTTCCATACTCTCCCGTACGTAAGCTCGTACGTTACGTTTCGTAAGCTCGTACGTTACGTACGCTCCCGTACGTAAGATATGAAGCAATTGCGTATTCTCGCGTTAATTTTAGATGCTACGTATCTTTACGTCTTTTTGGTGTAATTAACGCTTGAAAGAAAAGGCTACAAGCACTCTGTTTATAGCTGTTAAATATTGTTTTCTGTTTTAGCCGGCCTTCAAACCATGGACATGGAATGCAAATTTAAATCAATGTGTCCGTGAAATTTAGAAATGAATCGTGCTACATTACTACTAATTTACCTGTGCAGTTTAAATCCAACTATTGTAAGTTATGGTTATTTGTAAACTTCATGCAGAAACTAAATTTCTTCAATCTTTTACCACAAATCTGAATTATAAGCTGCCTTCTTTATCACTGAATCCATCAAAATCTACCGAATTTTTTTGCTTACTACACTTTTACGAAGAGAAACTCATCTTGAATCGTATACCATAGCTTTGTTGATAAGTTCGTTGTAAATTCTTGTTTTGATTTTATAGTCAAAGCTAAAATGATATCTCACTACGATGGCATTTTTAACTTACGGCTTTTTACAAAATCCCTTATTTTCCTTTACGTAAGTTTAAGATTTTTTCATGGGTGCATGCGCATTTTACCAAAGCTGATGCATGCGCACTAGAAGTGCTCATGAGCAATTACTTGAAACCTTAAGTACTGGGGCGCAGGGAAGCTAACGGAAATTCGTGAAATCTCCCTATTAACCGTAATGCTTACTTTATTTTTTACCTTTGATTGACCGAGGATATGCTGGGAAATGTTTTGCGCATGCGCTGTGAAGTACAAATAACGTTAACGTTAGAGTTTAGGGAAACTCTACGTAAAATCATTCTAATATTATAGGTAAATACTTTAATTCAGGGATCTGAAATATTTTTGCAAGACCTTAACTTTTATTAATTTAATGCTGATGAGAACCAAAGAAATCATGTGAGAAAACTAAATCCTGCCATGTGCGTCTTGGCCAATAAGAATACGTATACAGCAATAGAAAATGGTTTTATGTCCTTACATTTTTATGTTATATTACATGGATGCCATAGAAAAAAATACACCGGGATGTCAAAGCTATGGAGAATATTCAGCAATGTGCGAAAATAGATTTTTTAAGAAATTTAATTACACAACCCACTTTAAATAATGCTTTTGTATCATGCATAGTTGAAAAAATAAATAAACAATGAATTGATTACACATGTGATAAATTTTTTTGCAGCATTTAAACAAATACTTTATATTGCCTAATTCAGTTGTGGGTGATTTCAAATATGAAATTAGCTTTTTTTTCTCTAAGGATACAGAATTTTTTTAAATGTCATTTTTTGTCAATTTTTGTCGAAGTGCACAAGCTTAAAAACGTTATGAATAACAAGAGGTTGTATATTTGTTACGACAAACTTCTAGGGGAGTTCCGAATCAAAAGTGCTTGGGAAATTCTGTCCGGCAATGTTATTGCAGGCGGCTAGGAGCTCTTCCTTATTATGACCTGTTTTAAAGCACCTGAAGAAACAGCATAAGAGGGAATCTTCCCTGCAGGTGTTTACGACATACGCGGGAGTCAGTTCCTATGCAATTTTAATCTAGATGATATGCTTTAAAACCCCCAGAAGTCAATCTCTACATTTACACGATCCACTGTTATCCATAACGTTTTTAAACTTGCACATTTCGACACAAGAATAGACGAAAAACATCATTAAGGAAGCTGTAGTTTAAAGAGAAAAATCGATTGCAGATTCGAAATCAGCGACGTGAAAATATCCAGGATCCGCTAAAAAATCTCATGCACTAGGGGAAAAATGTCCCCTACTGTTATATTTTTAAGAACCATTTCAGATAATGGTTGCTGTCCCGATGTAAATCATGCTTTTAAAAATAAAAGTATTGGATCTCCAGACATAAAAAACGAAAAATACGATCATCTATTGTAAATATAAATTTAGTTCTCTCTTTTAAAGTAAGCTAACAAAAATTAAGATTTTCTTTTTGTTCTCCGACAAAGAAAAGTTTAAAACTTTATTTTTTTACGATAATTTTTCTTTTTACTTTCTTTCACTATAAATGATAATATTACTGCAGTAGGCTCTCTTTACAATAAATATGTATGCAAAAATAAATCACTATTTCACAACGTAATTACTTTCTATATCTTCATTTTGCTTTTCTTTAGTTTTTGAATCATGGTGTTCATGATCTGATTCGTGGCCTAAGGCAATAAAGAGTTCCAAACCATCCAGTTTATTATTGCTATCATAATCATGGACCCTACAAGAAAAGAAAATAGAAACATCGATTATTGGTTATTGTAGGAGGTTTTATAATAAATTCCGTAATTGTGGTGCAAAATAATATTAGGAAAAATCATTCTCCAAATTTTTAATTTCATATCGAAACGAAGTTATAACATTGCTCACCAGAATATTTCAGTAATCAAAATTAAAAATACTTAGGATTTTCGGAACAAGCCTGAATTTTCTAATTTTTTTTTCTTGGAATAATTTTTTTTAAGCGAAATATAAAATTCTAGTTTTCAGGTAAAAGCATGTTGAATTTAAAATGACAGTAAGAATATAACGTTAGTATAAATGAAATGTATTATTTTGGTCTTTTAGCTTACACAAATATTTTAATCTTCATTAATGAAAAATTTTTTTTTCAATTTTTTATCCTAACTTTAGGTTGGGTTATTATGCAGATTCCGATATATTAGATTAATTTTTATGTGGCTTCCATAGAACCTAAATGTTACATTTCATGTTACATACAATAAAAAATGTTGTTACTTAATTATCTAAACTGAAAAGTAAAATTCTTTACATTTAGGCTTTAAAAAATTTAAATTTATGTGTTAGACAAAAAAAAAGAGATTTTATTGACTCATTGCAAAAAACCTTAATATTTTTAAATTTAACAAGTTTTTTTTATAATTATTTGACTTGCACAACGACCGACTTTGTAGTGGTCTGAGTTTTGAATTTAAAAAATAAATTTTTTCATCATATACTTTATTATACATGTATGCTTTTAATCTTTAATCTCAGTTTTCCCTTAATGCATTAAAATAAGGTTTGAAGTTGAGGAAACATTTTCATCATGCATTTGAGATTTCGCGTTTCATCACAAATCACGTGATTTTTTGACGAAATGGTTTTTGAATGATCCCAAAATTAACGAAACGCAGCTGAAGGATATTCTGAATTATTAAAGTGAGAGATTTATTTTTGAGAGTGTTCAAAAAAATTAATAAGAGCTACAAAACAGAGAATATTAATAAGCAAAAAATAAACGAAAAACACTATTATCTATTTTTGGATTTTTTGTTTGCTTTAAAATAAAATAAAACGAATTCTAAAATGCTTTTCTTTGCTTAAGTCATTTACTTCGAAATATTAAAATAGATTTTAAACATACTTTCTCGGTGATTTAATATTTTTATTCAATAAAGCTATTCAAAAAAAGGCATTTTTATATTGAAAACTATAAATCTACTGTGATAAATGAATTAAGTTATGATTTCAGTCTCTAATAATTAGTTTTTATACAACATCTACTCATAATTTATAATCATTTTATGTACAAACCATTAAATCTGATTGAATTAAAGGCTCGTATGATTAATGTATGTTCCCAAAAGTTTTGATTCTTATAATGTTAAATGGAACTTCATATTACATGAATTTCTGACTTAAGGAAAATCATTTTTCAAAACTCTTTTCACATTTGATAAGCTGGAATAGTCAATAAAACTCTTAATTTACTTATTATTCTTTTTTCACACAACCTTACATTCTACTTTTTTTTCATCTCTTTTTTTAATTTTTTCTAAAAGTATTCAGTTTAGACAAAATGTAATATTTGCATTCATCAATCTTAGATTTTGTCATCATTACTTTTAGTGCTTCGAAAAGTTCAGTTTAAAAATTAAAAAAAAGTTTAATATTTCTGCTCTAAAAGGTCACTAACAGGTTCTAAATATTAGGATCTTTTTCTTGAACTTGAACTAACTAATAGTTTTTAACTTTATGCAAAAATATAGATAACAAGTAAATACATAAATAAATATTAAATAAATCAATATTAAATAAATAAATAATAAACAAATATTAAATAAGTAAATATAAATAAATAAATATTAAATAAATAAATATTAAATAAATAAATAATAAATAAATATTAAATAAATAAATAATAAATATTAGAAATTAAAATAAAAAAGTAAGCAAATAAAAAAATAAATTTTTTTGGTAGCTTTTATTTAAAATGCAGATTATTAAAGTTATTATGAATATATACGACGCCCTGTGGCTGAGTTGTAGCGTTACACGCTGTCGTGGAACAGGTCCTTGGTTCGATCCTCGGGCCGGGCAAGGTTGACTCAGAATTTCTTCCCTTCAGTGGGTTCCTAAAATAAGTACCAACCATGCTTGGGAACTAAAAACAGGGGGTTCCACCTTGGACTGACTACCCAACCGAAATATGAGCCCAAAGCCTTGACCTTCTATGGGATGTCGGCCCACTGAGTTTAGTTTAGTATGAATATATACATGATATGAAATTATTAGTTTGACTAAAATGTTAATTTCTTTGAAAAGGGTCAAGATTTTTTTTTCTAATGAAATTTACTCTAGATCAACAGGTGCCTAATAGAGTCAATATTAAAACAAAAATCGCTCTATTCAAATAATGATATGGTTTTACTCGCACTCTGCTTTTATGCAGGGTGTTTCGTAAGGACCGATATTAATATGCGTTTTACAATCCGAATCAAAAATGAAAAAAAAAATTATACACTCATTGGGGGTCGTAAATTAATATCTAATCTAGAGAAAAATTAAAATCTGACATGTGACAATTCCTTTGAAATCCAACCAATAACAGCAGAAGAATCTGAGTGTAATAAGAATCAAAACAAGTTTAATTGAAGGTTGACATTTTAATAAGTGTCTTTCAATACTCTCTGTTTCCAACCGCAATCAAATGTGTCGTGCTGTTTATTGCATATGCTTCCCTATACTGTGATTTGTCAGATTTCGACGACTTTTTTGTCATTCCTCACTTTAATATTAATTTGTGACCTATGTGGCATACTTTTTTGTTTTTCGTTTTGATAATGATTCTAAAAATACACTTTGTACAATACTAAGAGAGAACATCGTGAACAGCACTATGCCCATAGAAAGCTTTTAATTTTAAAGTTTTTTTATGCAGGATCTTTTATTTTTTCTAATTGTAAGAAATATATGTAATTCAGGTAAATTCGTGGTAAATTGATTTTACCACCTAAATTTACTAGTTTCAAAATTGAGATTATGCTTAATACATGTTAATGTAAGTGCTAATTTTAAAAATACATATTAAGGATGATCTTTATGTAATACCCTGTATAGATTGATGAATGCAGTATATCTTTTTACATTAGCAGTGACCGCTTGAAGAGGTATTCACAACTATGAAGATTAATGCATAGTTTTTTGATTTTTTTTTCATTATGGAACTTTATATAAAATGTTTCATGAGATAAATTTCAATTATTTAAAATTTCATTTTCATTATATAAATTTATTTATCCTGAGTTGTTTTCTCGTAAAATCCATTGTACTTAAATTTCTCCATTTAGATGCGAGTACACATGAATCTGTGCAAATAAATATGAATCCGAAGTTCTCCTCTTGTTGAACTCTATAGATTTATAGAGTCATAATGTTCGAAGCATAAGAAAATTTTCTAATTGTAAAGGGAATTTGCATCAAATACAGGGTGACTGATAAATAACTTAACGAATATGTGAACTCTTGGCAAATGAAATTCCTCAAAAAAGAAATTGCATGCTAACCACTCAAAATAGTGTTTGAAACGTTTACCCGTTTATAACGGTTACAGTTGCACATACAGAATTTCAATATTTAAAAGGATATAGTTACTTTCCTTCGTCATAAAAATGATACTGACAGTAAGAAAAAAGAATCTTTAAAGGGATTCAGACTGACATTTTTATCATCAAAATTGACGGTGCTAGGCAGAGATGAAGAAAAGTTTATTTCATAAGTTTTTGGCATGTTAGCAATTCAACTGCACCAAAAGATGCAGCCTGATGGAAGTGGGGAGGAATATGAGAACGCACAATGGCTCGCATGCTGCATTTTGTTAATTGACTTTGCCTATAGTCGCCATTATTTGTGATAAAAATATCGTATATCTTCATTTTAAGGTTTTTTTTTTCTATGTGAGGATGATGTTTTGACAAAAAAAAGTGGGAGCGAAAAATTCTTGAATTCTGCCTTTGTAAGCCTAATTGTCTAATCACATTACACAAATAGCTCTTAAAACATAAATAACCCGAGAAAAGTTTGAATGCAAAATAAGAAAATTCAAGATGTAACGAAAAAAAATTAAACTATTTGACGTGAGAGAGACTTGTAAGTCGAATAAAATCCAATGAATAATACTTACGCAAAATATTGAAAATCCATTTTATCATCTGTGAACAAAGCAGTTAAAGGACCGAATATATCGGCAAAATCAAACTTCAAGTGTCTAGACAAAAGGAAAAAATTAATATTTCAGAACAACTCGTTGAAGAAAAAAATTAGGTATTATTTTGCATAGAATTTTTTAACAGCTATTCAGGATATTTAAATCTAATACATATATTATGCATGCTTGCATAATATTTCAATAAAGAGATTTTCCTTTTATAATATTCGTAATCTTTTAGGCTCCTAATGTATTTTGCAGATGAATAATCATAACCATAATTTAATTGCTCTGTTAGCTAGAAGAAATAAAGAGAAACGTTTTTGTATGGAAACATATTACTTTGCTTTGAATTAATTATGAAACTTCTCTTTCGCTTTTATTTTATTCGTATTTTTCTTTTAAATAAATACGAAACATATTTTTAAAAGAAATCAACTATGGCATATTTTAGTTAGTTTATTAATGCAGCATGTTTAAAAGGAATTGTTTTAAAAATTTGAAATAAAATCATTTTTTAAAATACTGATTCGCATAATATTTTGATTTAAATACTAAAATGTATTAACTAAATGATAGCCTAACATGCATTAATTAAAAATTAAACTTACAAAAAAGCATAATAAATCAAAGAAAGTTCATGTAATTCGTTATATGATTTTGTATTCAAAGTAAGGAAACATAAATATGTTATTGACTAAGACTGTCGAAAAAAAACTGATAATATATTATCAGAATATATATAATTGATAATTGAAAATATATATTATTAATATATCTGAGTGTACTTAGGACTCGGGAAACTTGTGATTTTCGTTCTGATGGTCATCTTTAAAGGGGAGAAAGTGACAATAAAAAAGAATAGTTGATTTATAAAGGGAGGGACATGTCTGTTTTCTGTTTAAAAAGAGAAATAAACCTTTGCAAGCTCAGAAATTTTAAATTATGAATTCTGCCAAGAAGAACCGTCGAAACTGTAATAATCTGCTTTATTTTTTAAATTATTTTTTTAAGTTTAAGATGGTTGATTAAAAAACATGTAGTTTAAGGCAGTGAATGGCTAGATTTGTTTCATAATTTCATCCAAGTGCAAGAATTTAACGAATCACAATATGTGGCTCGTGAGCCACGAACTATTAGAATTTTCATTCCAAAATTGTGCTAAAATAAGCAGTAGCCGTCTGTCCACCCAACTAACCGTAAAGTTTGCTGTAAATAACTTTTTTACTTTTCCGGTATTGAGACAGTTTACAACTAGTATGGTTATAAGACCATGGATACAAAACCATATTATTTTTCAACCATTTGCAGCTATCGTGAATTCAAAAAGAGAAATTGAGATGCGAAATGTCTAGCAAAAAAGAAATTTAACTGGACATTGGAGTTAGGCTTTATGTTTGGTAATTGGGATTGGTTGATTGATTGATTGATTTGTTCATTTGCGTCGCACTAGAGCTGCACAATGGGCTATTGGCGACGGTCTGGGAAACATCCCTTTATTGGCATTGGAGAGAGCAGAACTCAAATTGGGAGAGTAGGACACTAAATACTCTTCATGTGCTGAAGGAAATAGAGGAAATATTTTGATTGAACTAAATTGTGTTGAACGCTGGGTTTCGAACCCCCATTGTCATGATACTGACAGATTAACCCTTGCGGTTATAATCTGTTCAAAGTTGCTGCACTAGGTAGGCTTAGTTGGTTGCGATAAAATTCTGGTTATTTAAACGTATTAGGTGAAAGCTGTTAATAAACAGTTTTTCTCGCAATTAACGATTTCAATACCATTTTACTTATAGTTATTTGACTGTTTTGTTTTAATATAATAAAATAACAAATAAATGAATTCTTATTTAACGATTTTTTCTGAGAAATTTCTAATAGTGCAGTTTGTATAAAACTGGTTTGAGAGATGAAATATATATTAATTTCAATAGTTTATATTATTGTTAAGTATAAGTGGTGAAGTTTTTATATCCAATCCAGCAAGCGTTAAAATAGTGATCAAAATTATTTCTTTAGAATTCTTATTTCTATCTAATTTCTGAAAGAATTATATCGTTCAGTACAACAATTTCTGAAAAACTATTATTTTCGTATATTTTCTCAGAAATTCTTCGATCATGAATTTTATTTTAGATGTATAAGATTATTGACGATACACTGGTAGAAATTTTTCAGAAAAAATGGTCAAACAAGAATTTTTTTAATTGTTAATTCACCATATTTAAATGAAACAGTAAGAAAACATAAATAAGATGGGTTCAACTGTTAACTGTGGACGAAAAAAAACATTAACAATTCGCTCCTGATACTGTTAAACAACCAGTATTTTATCGCACCAACTAAGCCCACCTAATGAAACCACTTAATGCCCTGCAGCTGGATACATATATTACAGTTGGGAGGGTTATTTCAGAAATTCAAATAAACATTAAATCAGTAAAAATTAAAATATATGCGTGTTTGCAAGACAGCACTTCTTCAGGGGACACACTGTCTACAAACAAGCAGGAGCTCTTTTGTTGTCAGTGGAAAAACCAAAACTGACAGGGGTAATCCGTCAGTCTCATGACCGATAGAATAGAGGTTCGAATCCCACCTTTGACACCACAATATTTCCTCCATTACCTTCAAAACATGAAAAGCTTCCAGGGTCCTGTACTCTCCAATTTGTGTCCTGCACTGTTCAATGCCATTACCTAACTAAAAGCTTAGCTCCAATATCTAGTTAAATTTCTATTTTATGTTTTTGAAACTATGCTAGTTGTAAGTGGTAAAAAACCGAATGGTTTCAAAACCATGAGGATTAAAAATGATTTTTACCGTAAGTTTTAAGGTTAATTGACGGACATTTCACTGCCAATTATTTTAACATAATTTTAGAAGGAAAATTCCAACAACGTAAATTTTTTAAGATATAAAGCAGAAAATTTTAAATCACCATAATTTTAACTTTTAAAAGCTATAAAACATATTTTTTATTGCACTCAGAAATGATTAATATATTCTCAGACTATAAGATAGAAACTTCGATTCAGATAATTAGTTACGATATACACTGTTAGAAATTTTTCTGAAAAAAATGGTTTGATAACAATCTATTTAATAGTTATTTTATTATATTCAAACAAAACGTTCAAATACCATAAATAAGATGGTATTGAAATTGTAAACAGTGGGAAAAACCGTTTATTAAATGCTTTTATCTAATATAGTTAAACAACCAGAGTCTTATCACACCAACTGGGCCCACCTAATAAGCTCAGTTCCTTGAAACTGCGTACGTGTTATAGCCGAGAGAGTTAATCTGTAAATATCATGCTTGACTGACAGAACGAGGATTCGAGCCCCAGCGTTGATACCACAATATTTCCTCCCTTTCCTTCAATATGTTAAAAGTTTCCAGTGTCCTGTATTCCCAACCCTTATGCCCAATACCTAACAAAAAGCTTAGCTCCAATGTCCACTTAATTTTCAAATGGTTTTGAAACCATTCTGGTGGTAAATGGTAAAAAAACGCATCCTTTTTTTATTCATGTTTTTTTACTATACTAGTTATAAACGGTTTAAAACCGTAAATTTAAAAAGTATTCTTAAACGTAGACTTTACTGTTAACTAGATGGACAGGCTGCTGCTTGTTATTTTACCGTATTTTAGACTGAAAATTCTAGCAATGCAGTGTATCTTAGGTAGTTTTTGAATATTTAGTCTTGGATTTATTTATTGATTTTTCGATATCATCATTGTTTCTTGCATAACAATAGCAAACTAAATCCATATATAATGCAAAATGCAAAACAAAATGTGCAAAAAAAATTTGAAAAATTAAATGAAAAATCACAATACTTGACACCTTTTTTTAAAACTTTTCCAGCAAACAAATAACGTAATAAAATTGTCTCCACAAATCAGATTAAAGATCATATTACAATAAATCATTAATTAGAAGATATTGATGTAGATGATATTCATGCTTGGCACTGTTTCTAAAACAATCTATTTGGTCTAGTGACTTTTTCCAATCTTGAACAAGTGATTTTAAATTAAAATCAGTGAATAATACTTATCAAAATCCAACTCCAGATTGCTAATGATGGTTGGTTGATTTTTGAATTTAATTGACATTGTTATTCCTTATTGGCGTTCATTCGAAAAGATTGAAATTCATGTGACTTACACTTTTTAATTTTAATCCATAGGTATTATAAATTAAATGTTGCAGTATCGATAGCAGTCCATAGATTGCTTACTTCAGAGACTTTGTTGACATTGTTATTCACTCTTCTTGGCAAAGTTTACAAAGGATTGAAATCTTTTTGATAAAATGATTTTATTTTCTATGTATAGCTATTATTAATTAAAAGTATCTATAGCAGGTTCAAGAACCGTTTTCAGTTCGTTGTATAATGATTGGAATTTAACGCTTGTTATTGTTTTATTTTCAGTGTTCATATGCTTAAAAATGTTTATACAGTGATAGATGGAATTTGATACATTCGATTTTCTGATAAAGGGATCATCAAAATTAAGAAAATATCAAAATACGTTTTAAATAGGCTCTCTTTTAAAAATGATTATCGACAATAGCTTTCCTCATCAGAAAAAACACTTGAATGTGATTTGAAATTACAGTTTTACATAAATAATTAAGTTAACTTAAAACAGATGTACCTTTACTGAAAAACACACAAACATTGGAAACATTTTTAAATTAATCACAATTAAAAAAATTGAACAGATAACATGCACTTACTCCTTATCTACTTTTAATTTTCTTTTTGATTCATTTATTTTTGCATAACTGAAAGGCAGACATGTCAGTATGAGGAATCTCCAGATCATTATAAAAACCTGCATTAAAAGTAAAAAAAAAAAGATGTATAACTACTCAAATAACTATATATAGAGCTGATAATATTAGCAAAATGAAGTATTTAATAAGCAGGACTTTTTAAATTATTAAATTTGAAATTCTTTAATTCTTTTCTCGTGGTCAATCCATATAATGTTATTTTTTCAATTTAATCATTTTGGAAAGTTCTCTAAATTTTGCTTCATGGTAAAAATAGCGATAAGTTTTATGTGACATCATCCCATTTACATGACTGTCGAGGGTGAACCAAGGCCCTTCTATTAAAAATTCCTCTAGGACAATTTATTTTTAAACCTGGACTGCCATTTTTCTATCCCCAATTATTATAAAAGTGGTTGGTGCGCATGTGTATATCTCGCACCTATTGAGCTGTTTAGGCGATAGGTCTGCGACTGGTACGGCCTTCAAAACTATCAGTGGTGGGACACCAGACAGAGTTTGACACTATTGTTGTCCAGGTAGAGGATTATGTGGACTACTCCAACACATAAAAATTCCTTGAACAAAATTTAATGAAGTCCTGCATGTAATACTCTAGAAACGATTTAAAACATTTTGATAACTGAAACAGAACCAAGGTAAAGCTTGAGGACTCAAGCTAGTTGGAAAAGCGTTGGCATTTTAAAATTAAAGAGAAATTGTGCCTGAAATAGTCTAGGAGCCATAGGAAAAAAAATTATCGGCTGGCAAATTTTTTTATTAAAGTTTGAGCTCCTTTTGTTTCAGTAAATAATGTCAGAAAAGGATTCATCCAAAGTACATCATAAACACGCTATTACTCATACTTTCATTTCATATACAATAACCAGTAAGCAATTATATTAAAGAAAACCCCCTTTCTTGCATCCAGTTTCGAAAACCAACGATGAGTATAGATTGAGTGTAATGAGTACATGCATTTGGTTGCAGGTAAAGTTTGCATACTTGTAATATATTAAAAAGGAGAAAGAAGGAAAATAAAACCACTTTTTTTTAACATTCAAAATTATTGTTTTCTATTAACTTCAAAATCAATTCAAATAGCCCCTTAACTATCTTTTCTTGAATGTATATAAGTTTTTACAGCGCAATTGGTACTTGATTCTAGCGCAAAGAGTATGTCTTTTAATAGTTTTGCCATAAATATGTACAGCTACATGTCTTTATTTTTCATAGTATTTATTTTTCTTGAAAAAACAATGCAATTTTATCGCTATCAAAATTTCTGAATTCGACGAAGTTCCTAAAAAATCAGAAATTAGAGCGTATGCTTTTAAAAAGTCTATTTGAACAAGCAAAATGCAATTTTTATGCATTCTGCTTATATATTTGATGAATTAATTTGTTACAGTACCATTTATTGGTCAAAAAGGAATTTTGTTGTCTTAACTGCTACAATGTCAATACAATCAGCCTGCTACAATGTCAAAAAAATGGTATATAGTTACTACCATTTCTAGAGTCAAGTTAAACTAATTTTTTACAGTACAAGTAGTCACATTTTCATTTACTTTTTCACTGTTACAGTTTTATTTATTCATTTATTTCATGTTTGTTTGTTTGGTGGGAACACATATTTTTATGCATATTAGAATCAATTCGGTGAATTAATAGCAAAACAATTTCGTGTAAAATACAAGCGCGTTTTTAGTAATATATTCGCATTAATTCTTTCAAACAGTTGTTATTTTGTCAGTATTATATAATATGTTTTGACGATAACTACAGTTGTGTATCTTTTGTTTACATCATCACCATAAATGGCATTGCAAAAATGGTTGCTTAGTTAATTTTACCAAGATCGGTACCAAAGCACTTCGGAAAAAAATACCGATATTTTAGGTGTTCCAATAGAGCTAGAAACACGGTAAATTTTACCATACTCTGCTTTTAACCATACTTTTTTTCGCAGTGAATATAAAACAATTGCATATATATATATATATATATATATATATATATATANTATAAAAGCAATAAAATAAAAGGATTTAAGCGACATAAAAATAAAAAATATTCTAAATGGATAATGAAAACTACATTCGAATGAAATAGTGCATTTGTTTTTGTACACGTTTCTTAATTCAAAAGATTTACTCACCTTTCTAAAGTAATCCTGTTGAGCGATGTTAGTTGAATAAGTTAATTACATAGCATTTAAATTAAAAGCGTTACTAACAGCAACACACCAGAAGAACAATAAAACAAACAACTTAATGCATTAAAATAAAAGCAATAAAATAGGCAATGATAAACGAGCTGTTTTATTTCAAATTCGGCATTGAATAGAGGCGAAGCAACAAGCAAAAGAATGGCTTATCACATGGGGTGGCTTATAACATCCTGAATATGCTTCCGTTTCCTTATTTAAATCGCCTAATAATTTAAACATCAAAGATAGGAATGGGTCGAAATTTCCGTACATTCTAGCTGCAAATATAAAAAAAGGGAAGTGTAATTTTTATCGCTCTTTATTTCATTGCTTTCAGTTTTAATTTTCTTTGAATTAGATTAATGTCTTGTTTTAAGCATGATCAATTTGTAATTTCTTAAAATAACTTTTGCTTTAATTTGGGATGTTTTGATTAAAATCAAGAAGAACAAAATTCTTTATTAAATTCGCAAGTAGTTAATTGCTTAAAGCTTGGGATTAATAAGGCTTAAATTGTTTAAAAGGATCAAACGGTGAATTTTTTTCGGCTTTAATATTCTAATTTTAATCAGCGTTGAATAAAACGTTTAAAGTGTAGAGGTTTATTTCGAAAATATTATGTGTTTTACATATATTTTTCGAGGCCGGGATAGCCTGGTCTGTAGGGCGCTGGGCCCTTGTCCGAGAGCTCGTTGGTTCGAACCCCGCCGGCTGAAGACTCCCCGTGTAGTTGGTGACTGATACACGTTAAAGTTCTGTCGAGGTACTGGATTGGAGACCGATCGTTCTCTGGTTCTGGTCAATATTACGATCTGTGAATGAATGGATGCATGAATGGGTCCGCCTTATAAACAGGTGTGACGCATGATGTGGCAGAAGTCGAATTCCTGGCCATAGATGGCGCCACTGAAAAACAAGAATCGCACACTCCGCCCTAAATTTTCTCGGTTGCACCAAGCAGGCTTGCCGGTGTGGCAAGTGGCATCAGACCCAACCAACCAACATATATTTTTCGAATTTTTGTCAGAAGTGAAGTTAAACTTCTACACAGAGAAGAAAAAAAAGGTCAAAACTACCAGAGTATGGTTAAATGTACCGTGTTTCTGGCTCTATCAAAGTTGTCAAAGTGTTTCGGTAATGAGTTTGGTAATATTAACAATAAAATATTGCTATGTAATTACTGATAAAATATGGCAAATGTGGTAAATTTTGGTAATTATAGCATGATATCTTAGAGCCTGGCATAAAAACCATTTATTCGGCTTAAATTTTTCAGTTTTGTATTTTTAATTAAATGTGCGGTATTAAGAACCATAATTTTGAAAACCAGAATTTCCGGTAAGCTTTAACTATATGTACGAAAAAATAAAAATGACCAGTTGAATGGTTTAAATGCTATATAATTTGATTTCATTACAAGAAATGTTTTTTTTTTCTTAGCCAGAAATGTCTTTAGCATAAAATACGGTAATTTAAAAAATTTTTTTCCTCTATGTATAGACATGGATATATTAGGGGTCAAAAATTAGTATTTGACGGAAGAAAAAAATATGAACTATAGAGAACTAAAAGCACGAAAACCTGTTTGATTTCCGATTTGAATTCGAAAGTGTTTTTGATAATGAATTCTAAATTGCTTTCAATAACTCCAGCAACCAAGTAGGTTTAACGTTTTTCATCCCACCGTTTGCAATTGTTTCTCCAATTTTTTTATTTTTCTCAAATTTTTTTTAAGTCTAAAAATGCATGCGTAACTTTTATTAACGGTTCGGAAAGGATTCCAAAATCTGTATTTAAGGCAATGATTACGGAATATTTTGTATTATGGAGTATAAATATAAATCAAATTTATTCAATTTAAGTTTTTAACAAAGCATACTTTTATATTGTAAAGTTTAATTTCAAATGCTTTTATTTAGCTCTGTAGATTGTATAGGAATTTATACAATTCAGAAACGTACAGCGTATCCCTAAAATCGAAAAAAGAACTACCATATTTCTAATGTGCTTTTCGAATTTTCAATAATATCTTTTTCAATATTTTTACCAATTATTCTTTATAATAAAGTTTTTCTTCCTCAATTGTGATAAAGTTAAGAAAATAAGCGGTTTTCTTCCTGATAAAAGAACCTAATAGTTCGTTTAAAATGCCACTTAGCTTTTATAAAGTGAACACTATCTGCAGAATGATAAATATAGGTGCTAGTTTCGTTTTTTCAAAGTTTTTACCTTTTTTAAGTACGAACTTATACTTTCTTTTCAAGGAATAAAATATAAATGGCAAAATAAGGATTTGCGTTATTTTACTTTCAGCTTATAATGTTCAAGCAAAGCAGTTTTATTTTAAAATATAATTTTAACCGAAATCATTTTCCCCACATTCTATAAAACCGAACGAGTTATTTTTTGTTTAGTATAAGCCTTTCTCTATTTTCATTCATTCATTCCAGGTTGTAATGCATTTTCAAAACATTTGGTTTTTCTAATATCCGTTATTGGAAATTTAATTCTGCTTATAGCTTTTGTTTCAAATTTAATAGTTTTTGCCAAATAATGTAGTATGGAGAGAAAATATGCTTTCAAACAAGGCTTTGGTGCATTTAAAAAACGTTTAGTATTTAATAGTACTCTGTCATTTGAGTTTAAACTCTGTTCAAAAAACTACTTTTTAAAAAATTAAATGTAAAATTTTGTACTATCAAATATGTTTTAAAATTTTTAGGGTAAACAGTACTGTAAAATATAGTCTCTGCTACAGTACTCTTATTTGCAGTAAATTGTAATGCACTAAAATTTCTAAAAAAAGACCATGGTAACTTTTTTCTCTTCGACTATCATTTCAAAATTGGTTTTCTGCTTATTTTATTTGAATTTTAAACCGTGCACAAAGTGCCATGGTACCGTACAAGAGCTAGTGCATCAGCCTGTTTAACAGATTCTACGGTAAATACAGGTTTTTCAAAATTGAGCAAAAATATGTCAAAGTTGCTCCAAAACAAATATTATTCTATGTATTGAAAATTGAAACAGCATATACTCATTCTTGTGCAAATTGCATAGTCTCAAAAGTGATGTGGAAGGAGTGATATTTGAGAGAGTTGCTCGTTGGCTGTCAACAGAATTCGAACTAAAGAGCTCCGGGTCTAGATTTTCCAATCCAGAGTCATTTCACGACGCGCTCTCCTGTTTGGCAATTCTCTTGTAAGAGCGGGTGTGATTTTTGTCTTCGCCACTATGAGGGAGAATAGAGGGGACAGGGTATTTCTTTTCTTCTTAGAAGACAAACATTTTGTTTTGTCTTTCTCTTCAAAAAAGAAAAAAAAAAGAAGATTTGATTCTTGTTTTATTGTTGTTAGTCGTATGTTGTAAGACGATATTTTTCCACCCTTCCATTGATTATCATTTTTTTCGTATTCGATGGTACAATAACAATATCAAGGTGTTATAAGTAACTAAGTAAAACTTAGTACTTTGTTGAGCACAACAATCAAGTTTATTCAGGGATTTAAAGATGTATAACATAGCTGATTCATTAACTAGGTTTTGAAAAATTAAAATGTTCCTAAACAATAGTTTACTAATTGTACTTTTAAAGCTAAGCTATAAACACAAAGAAATGTTAAGCTCTTCTCAGTTTTGTTACAGACCAAGTATTCAGTGCATGTATATTGCTTTAAAATTGAAGAAACTCAAAAAACTTATTAATAGTTTTAAAACATTTTATGAAAGCGGAAATGAGTTCATTCTTACATCTGCACCATGGACTTTTTGCGAAGATATATTAAAAATTATGAAAACCATGTTTTTTTTAATAAGTTTTTTTACTGTGGAATTTTCTTTTGAAGCTGTGATCGATTTACATAAATATGCTGAGGCTGCTTAATGTTTTTTCAGTATTATAATAACGGTAACAAACACTTATCTTGTTTTTTTTTAGAAAGCAAATAATTTGAATGGAATAACAGAACAACTTTATAAGAATAATTTTTATTTAACTGCAAAATGGAAACGAAACGCTTAATAAAGGAAAAAAATTGAATAATTTTAATTAACTTTTACCTAAGCAGTATAAATATCATGAGCTCCTCTAAATCAAATTGTAGACAAAATAAATCTTTAATTCCTTTACTATGAATTAAATTTCGTTTTCGCTCGAAAACTACCTATGTATTTATTTATTTTTTAATTTTCTAGTAGGGAATATTTTATTTAGAGAGCTCAATGAGAGATTCCTTGATTGCAGACATAAAAAATGAAATTTTATTTATTAAAAAAAACTAAATTTGGATAATAGGTAAAAGTAATTCTAATTTTCCATGTTACTTAACGCCCATGAGACGAAGTGAAAAATATCGTAAATACATTATTTTAAAGTATACAAACTAGCCAATAAGACATTAGTTCCAGAAATTATCGGTTGATATTGTCATATCAACTAAAATCTTGTTGTAATTTGAAAGAAATTACGTTAAATACCAGTTGCTTCACTAGCTTTGGGTGAAAATGTTCCTCAAAATCTTTTTCCTTAAACTTTAGAAACAAAGAAAGGGAAATTAAAAATTATCCTGACCAACATGGCCAAGACAAAAAAAAGTATTCTCCGACCAAAGTTTTGATGAGAATAATTTTATTTCGTAATTTTTATTTTTGAAGAAAAAGTATAGGAAGACGATGCGCAAGACATTAAAAAGAAATTAATAGAATCTCACAATTAATTGACACAAATGCGACAATAAACACAGCTAAAAGTACTTTGTTTTTAAAAAAAATCAGAGTAATAAGTGATTTAATGAATATATTACTTTCAAAACAAAGTTTTCGGAAAAAGAAAATTTCAGTTCTACCAGCATCAATCAATACCTACAGAAATAATCTTACCAAAACAACAAAAAAAAGTCCCAGCAGGTATCCACGAAAAGATATAAGGAAATGACATTAAAGAGAAAAATATGTTTCAGGGATAATATTGAAGCCAAAATGAAGGTTAAGTCACACTGCTCAAAACACTGAATAATAATAGGCTGTTGCTAAATAATAATAACTGATAAATAAATGAAACAAACATTTTAACCCTACTAAATCAAAATTTATAAAATTTACTATAAATTAAGGATTACTACGCTAAAATATCTACAATATTTAATCAATTTAAAATATATTTAAAATATACA